CAGCCCCTCTCCCTTGTAAAGTGTGTCCATTGGGAATCTGTATTATTTTCCTCGAATTTCCTGTGTTCCCCACTTCAGGGAACTCTTCCACCTTTATGCAAACTGGAAACCTCATTGTTATCCTCCACGGGGATGGGAGAGTGTGTACTCCCACTTTCCCAGAATAAAAAACTCTTTTGGAGAACTGTAATGCTTTAAAAGTGATGGGTAAACAACATTCTCTTTTATTTAACTGGTGAACAGCCTAAAGGTTTTTTTTCTCACCACCAGCTTCTAAATTATCTTTCTTACTGCATGTTCCTTTTTCTTCCTGCTCATTGTGATCTGTCCCTCAGCTGCCCAAATTTTGTAGGAGAGGTTAGACAGGGGCTACTGTTGTTCCAGAGTTGTCGGAGACAATTGTGTTTACTACTCGATGCTGCCTCAGACCCAGTGGTTGGCACAATGCTGTGTGACCCTCCCTCAGCAAAACAAAGCAGACCCAGCCATGCTAGTGCTGCCATGGGTAGCTTAAGCCTATAGATTATACCTCTGAAACCTCTCTAAAATTGACTTTCTTCTCTTCATGCTTGCTGGTATTGACTTAATTCAGATTTTATCGTTGGGGAGAGGAAGAAAACCTGTTTTTTTTTTTTTTTTTTTGGAAGTTAACTTTGATGGATGTGTGTTTGCCTTTGGCTGTGTTCCTTTGAGTCAGCCTCTCCCATCCAAGGCAGTTAATCTCTGTAAGTCTCATCTGATAAGAGAGGATGATAACAGTACCTGCTTCATGGGGTGGTTGTAAAAAGTATAAAATAATGCATTAAAAAGTGCTGAGCAGAGTGCCAGACACAGAGTGAATATCCAACAAATGTGCGCTTATCATCATCACTGTTGTCTTTGAAGATTCACTGTAAAGGGTCTTAAGCTGTTCCTGATTTCTCTAAACAGAGTCAGTTGTTGTCTTTCCAATAGTGTTTGAACTTCCTCTACTTGGACACTGATTTTATCTCAATATTGCTATCTTTCCTACACTGTGAGTACCTCAAGCGTAATGACTATGTGAATTCTTTTTTCTGTCCTCAATACTAAGCAATGTGTCTGGTGTATAGGAGGTGGTAAATAAATATTTTTTGGAAGAGTACACTGGATGAATGATTTATGCTTATGTTTTTGGTTTTGCATCTGGAATTGTCAAATATCAGTCGATATAATTCACTCTATTGACAAATTAAAAAAGAAAAAATCACATAATCTAAAATTACATGGTAAAATGTGTAACAATTAAAGGATAAGATGATGTGATCATGTGGCAAGAAAATCCAAAACACTTTAAAGGTAAGACATTAAAGTTAATAATTGAATGTAGCAAGATTGATGGATACAAATTAAATATTAAAACGTCAATTTTATTTTTATGTACCAATTACAAGCATTAGAAAATAAAATATTAACATTATTTGCAATATCATTAAGTTTTTAAACATCAAGATACATATATAACAAATTATGTGTAAAAACGCTGCATGGAAAAACTACCAAACTTTGCTAAGAGAAATTTTAAGAGCCTTAAATAACTTAAGGGATATTTATGGATTGAAAGACTCAGTTTTTTAAAGGTGTCAATTCTCCCCCAAATTGATAGATTCAAAAAGTACCAATAAAAATCCCAGGAATGTATGTGTATGTGTATAAACTGTAAATTGATTCTAAAATTGGTACAGAAATGCCAGAGGCCAAAAATAGTAAAGGCAATCTTGAAGAAGGACAAAGTTGGAGGATTTGCACTACCAGATACTGAGCCTTATTATACAACTATATTATTTAAGGCAATAGTAAAGGCAATCTTGAAGAAGCACAAAGTTGGAGGATTTGCACTACCAGATACTGAGCCTTATTATACAACTATATTATTTAAGGCCGTATGGTATTGGCATAAGGAAAGATACCTAGATCAATGGAATAGAATCGAGAGTTCAGAAACAGATCCAAATAGATATGAACAGTTGATTAATGAAAATGATGGCACAGTAGAGTGATGGGGAGAGGTATTGCTTTTTCACTCAAAACAGTGGTGGATCAATTGAATATGCTTTTCAAAAAAAAATTTTGACTCCTAGCTCATATTATACATGAAAATCATTTTCAGTTGGATTGTAAGTTTAAATATGGAAGTTAAAACAATAAGGATTCTAGGTAAAGAACAGAAGAATATCTTCATGAGGTTGGGATATGGAAAGATTTCTTGAATAAGACCAAAAAATTACTAACCACAAATTTAAAAATTGAAATATTTGACTAAATCATATTAGTGACCTCTGAATCAAAAGACACTATTAGCAGAGTGGGAAAACAAGTCATAGAATAAGAAAAGTATTTGTCATACATATACCCGGCAAAGGGCTCTTATCCAGAATATAGAAGAAACTTTTACAAGCCAGTTTTAGAAAGTCAGACAACCCAACTGGAAAAAAGGCCAAAGTTCTGAACAGGCACTTCATGAAAAAGAATAGAAGTAGATGATAAGTATATGAAAAGTTTCTCAACTTCATTAGTCATAAGTAAGAAAATCATAAATTTATTGGCCAAATTTGGACACTTTAGGGAATGAAAGGCATATTATTAATAATTATGTCAAGAAAACAGACTTAAACCAGGATTTATGGTCACCCTAGTCATCAGAGATAATCGAATTTCTTTCACAAGGAGATACAACCACATATCTATCAGAATTGTCAATTTTTTTAAAAAACCCTGACAACATCAAATGTTGGTGATGATGTAAATTAACTGGAACTCTCATACACTTCTGGTTAGAAGGTAAATTGGTACAACTACTTTGCAAAACTTTAAAAATATATCAATTGAAGCTGAACATGTGAATAACTCAGCAATTCTATTATAGGTATATGCCTATCCAAAATGCATATGTGCACTAAGTATGTACAAGAATTTTGATAATTGCATTATGTGTAATTGCTACAAACTGGAGTAACCCAGTGTTTATCAAGCATAGAATGAATTAATAGTATTATATTCATATAGTGGGACATCATGCTGCCATGAAAATGACCAAAATGAATGCATCTCAAAAACATAATATGCAAGAGAAGCCAGACACAGAAGAACACACATTTAGCAATTCATTTTGTATACAGTTAAGAGTGAGCAAACTGATGTATGGTGTTAGAAGGCCATATAGTGGTTGTCTTTTGGGAAGAGGGAAGGGGCATGGAGGTGACTTCTGGGGTGGTGATAATATTCTATTTCTTTTTTTTTTATTTTTTATTTATTTTTATTTATTTATTTATTTTATTGCATTTTAGGTTTGGGGGTACATGTGAAGAACATGCAAGATTGTTGCATAGGTACACACGTGGCAGTGTGATTTTTCTGCCTTCCTCCCCTCACCTATTTCTTGATCCTGATGGTAGTTGCATAGGTCTATTCATTTTGTAAAAAAATCCATTAAGCTGTGTACTTATAATTTTTGGGCCTTTCTACATGCATGTTAATCTTCAAAAAACATTGAAAAATAGAAACTAACATATTGGCGCAATGAATAGAAGGTATCTAGAAAATTAACATATCAAAGAGAAATGTCAAAAAGAAAGACATCCAAATTTAAGATTTAGGTGTGTAAATTAACTTTTAGTTTCAAGTGTTTAAAATATGTCACTTTTACCTTCAACAAAGAATAGCTTAAAATGTCTTTTTTTTTTTTTTTTTTTTATGGTAAGCAATGTTTAATTTTATATGAAACTGCCAAACTGTTTTCCAGAGTAGCTGCCCCAATTTACATTCCTACCAGCAATGTATAAGAGATCTAAGTATCTCTGCATACTCATCAGCATTTAGTATTATCAGTATTTTTTCCCATGCTACTATGTATGTAAAGGAGAAATCATTTATTTTTTTTATTATTTTTTTTCCCATTTATTTATTTTATTGCAGAAGATCAAACACCGCATGTTCTCACTCATAGGCGGGTGTTGAACAATGAGAACACATGGACACAGGGAGGGGAGCACTACACACTGGGGTCAGTTAGGGGGAAATAGGGGAGGGACGGTGGGGGGTGGGAAGCTGGGGAGAGATAGCAGGGGGAGAAATGCCAGATGTAGGTGATGGGGAGGAAGGCAGCAAATCACACTGCCACGTGTGTTCCTATGCAACAATTTTACATGTTCTTCACATGTACCCCAAAACTTAAAATGTCTTTTTATCTCAATATCCGTGATCCAAAATCTTGATATCTTCTTGTTTTCTCCTATTGTCTTGAAACAGTAGATTGACCTTTCTCACTGAAAATCAAGGTCATGTTAACTCACTAAGACCCTTTCACTCTTAGCAGTTTCTAACAATTCAAATATCGACCATTGTTTTTAATATTAAATGGAGTTTGTTACTCAATGTTTGATATTGATAATTATACCTCTGCATTTTAAATCTGTCACCTCCTGATATCTTTTGGGGAACAGAAGGAAGATCTTCAAGCCTCTACATTTATCTTACCTTTTTTGTATATAGATTTGATAACATATGTAATAATTTAGTAACAGTAAAAATATACGGTGTTAAAAGTAAATGTAAATATGACAGCATTATAAGCACAAACTTTTTTTACTAACAAGTGTGCTCAAAGATAAATATTGATCACTGGTTTAATTAAAGTGCTTTAAATAGAGAAGAAACAGTTGCTGGAATTCTTGTCTGCTGGTGTGGTCTTGATTAAGACAATTTCATGTCCAATTCTCTATGGCTACAGGGATTGGAGGAGGTCATGTTGGTTTGGGATTTTTTTGGTTGATTCATATTTGGCTTGGATTTGATTTCTGTAGTATGTTCATTGCAATGAAGGAGGCAGGTGAGTGAGTTTATGCATTACAAAATTAGGTTACAATGTATAAAATAACTTTTTGAAAGTTATTTTTGAGTATCTGTTATAAAGAATGGTAAAATGTAAATCAGAAATGAATAGTTAATATTTAATTTTAATTAACTTCTTTCTCGTTTTCTAGGCGGACCACATATCTGGTTTTCACATAAGATCTGTTCTCTGTGTCCCTATTTGGAATAGCAACCACCAAATAATTGGTAAGAAATTACCTAAATAATTAAACTTCTTGCATAAAGAAACAGAAATTTGCTTTAAAATACTCCCATATCTTTTTCGTGTGTTCCCCCTTTTTACACCAAGGACTCATCAAACTATGTCTCACACTCTTGTATAATCTCGTAAGTGCAAACTCCTAAAGAATCAACATTAACCACAACTTGAACAAATAATTACTAAGTTGAAAGAACCAATAAATTTTAAAGTTGAAGAAAATCTGAGTTATCAACCAATAGAACTCTTTTACTTCACCTTGTGGAAGTAGCAGCAGAGAGAGAGAGGATAAAATAATTAAAGAGAGAGAGAGAGAAATGACTTCAAGAAAACCAAAAAGTTAGTAGAAGGTCAAGATTAAAACTCAGGCTTCCTAACTTCTAGTACAGACTTTCTTACTATGTCAATGTGTTTATACCTGTGCTTTTATACATGGTGTAAAGGCAAAGGAATAAAGAACACTATCTATTGGTCATATACTGAGCATGCATCTTTCTGCCTGGGCAGTTCTCAAATAGGCCAGATTTTCCCATAACAAAGGAATCATGGGTGAAAAACAGCTTCCAATTTTTACTTCCTCCATTCCCCTTTCCTTCTCCTCAAAAAACTCAACCAGGAAAGCATCAAAGTCAAGAAAGAAGCCCCAACAAGAATTCATGGTTGAAATAGAGAAGTCATGAAGGATGGAGTAATTAGTTGAAATTATTCAAACAGAATTAAAATATGACTTTTTTTTCCTAAGAGACATAAGAACACTAATTCATTTGGTAACTAATGCATCTATTTGCCTTTCTCTGCTTCCCCCTAAAATTGCCTGTTAAAGTCTAAAACACTGCTGCTTATTAAAGGATTTAATATTCTGTGAGTGTTGTCAAGATCTGAATTCTGAGATAATTTTTTTCATCAGCTTAATCTGCATAAAAATATTGATACATTGTTGAAGATGAAGAATATTCTAAGATTTGGGATCTAAGCTTCTAGTACAAAGAATTAAACCACATCATGCACAGTTTTAAATAAATTTATGTTTAAAGACAAAGTTTATAAGAAACACCATGTGTTATCTGTTGATATTCCACAGCAATCTCACAGTCCTACATTTCAATCCTGATAGTAAACATCCATTATTACTTCAGAATTAGAACCATAGTTTGCCTGGTTACATGCTAATAGTTTTGTGTTTCATTATATATACATATATATATATATATATATATAATCTTCTAGCATAGGGTGACTTACCTCCCTGGTGGGAAGTTGGGTGTTTTTAAAAATACAAGCATATTTTAGAATTATAGCTGGAGTTTTTTTTTTCTGTGCTAAATGAGGATAAAGGCTAATGATTTTCAAGATAGTTGATTTTTCTTGTTAAACTTGTGTGTTTTGAAAGTCATGCCCTCAGACATCTGATATAATGCTAAAAGTGAACATTGGAAATAGTAACCACTCATAAATTAAGTTTTTAGAATCACGTACCCCATTGGTAGCAGGCAACAGAACTAACCTTGCTTTGAGAGTTAACTGTATTAATCAACTTTTATTGTTTGTAGTAATTCCTAACATTTCTTGAATATTTACACTGAGTGAAGCAATATGCTAAATGCTTTACAAACATTCTAACATTTTCTCATTTAATTGTCATAACCCTCTTAGGTAGTTAACATTTTAATCTCCATTTTACAGATGAGGAAATTAAGTGCTAAAAAAGCTAGGTAACATCCCCAAGGTCACACACCTGATGGTGGAGTTAAAATTTGAACCCAGACCATCTAAGTCCAAAGCTTTTGTTCTTAGTCACGATGCCATACTGCCCCTCTCAAGTATTGTGCTTCAGAAAATGAAATGTATATATATATACACATATATATATTCAGTTGAAATATATATAACTGAATACACACACATATTCAGCTACATATATACTAAGTTGTATATATAACTGTGTGTGTATATATATTCTCATATATATATATACACACACAAATACATATGTATATGCATATATATATATATATATATATATACACAAACATACATATAAATATGGGGGGATATATTCGAGTTACTGTAACTAGTCATCTAGAATCAGATTAATGCCTTGGTAGAACTCCAAACTCTACTGAGATCTAGTCTAAATAAATCAGCCTTGAAGATAGACTGCACACCTCAGATTTATTCTCATGAAATTGGCAGGCACTTGAGAGACCAGAGTTTAAACTGAGCGTAGTTCCCTAAAGGAGGCATAGAGTTAGCTGTGGGTTATTTTATTAGAGAAGCACAATGTCCAGTACTAAAAATGACCACATAATTCACTCTTTTCCCACAGGAGTGGCTCAGGTGTTAAATAGACTTGATGGGAAACCTTTTGATGATGCAGATCAACGACTTTTTGAGGTAAGAAAATAAATGTATAAACCGAGGTTTATACGGAGTCATCAATAGTCCCCTGGTTGAGGCTTGCCCAAATTTGAAAAGACAAATAATTAATCAATTATTATTATACTTAATGGAGGACAGAATTTACAGGAAGATTTAAGGAATGTATAAATGCTTAAGTGAGATTTGATCCTATTTTTTTACAAATTGGATTATTTTGTAACCATCCATTATTTTTATCCTAACTTTATTACAGAATTTCCCTCTTTTCCCCAAATTGTTATTGTTTTATTCTTGTCTTGCTTATGTGTGTTCAGAGTCATGAAACCCTAAGCCAGCTCTGCCAGGTGTACCGCCCTCACTTTTCTCTTGTTTATGCGCTTCTGTTCATTCACTCCAGGCTCTCTAAATGAAGAGGTTAGCCTTGAATGGGCTTCCTCATAGACTGGACCGGTAGCCAACATGAAAACTCATCATTATCTTTCTCTACTCAAGAATACCTCATAGCTTCTTTATTAATGGTTCTAACTCAATCCTCCTTCCCCTTAACACTTACCCTATGGTTACATTAACTTAGCTTTTTACCAAAATATTGTATAGCCTAGCAACTAAAAGAGGTTGCTTTGGTTAAATAGAATGGATTTACTAAAATCAGTCCACAGCGTAAATAAATTAAGAACCCATTTAAACAGACTATCAGTATGTTTAAACATATGAAGTAGTTTCCCTATAATGACATTAAATTCATAATTTTTTCTCATGTGCAGTGTGAGCTATAAAGTTGTTATATAATAATAGTAATTAAGAATTTTTATATGCTTATTTCCCCAAGGCCTACCTCTGTGTACAATAAGATTGTATTTCAGACCCATCCCTGGTGACTCCCCACTTTCATATTAGATTTTACCAATGAGTTGCCGCAATGTTTAATTAGCAGGTTTGTACTTTCCTAGGCATTTGTCATCTTTTGTGGACTTGGCATCAACAACACAATTATGTATGATCAAGTGAAGAAATCCTGGGCCAAGCAATCTGTGGCTCTTGATGTAAGTACAGTATTTATGTCAGGTTTTTATGCTGCTAGCTCTAATTTATGAGGGAAAAATTTCCCTGGTTGTAGGGCTCAAATTTTACATGTCTCAAATTTTAATTATCTATTTATTGGTCCTTAATCATTTTAGGTCATGGGTTTACATTTCATGAAGTCTAGAAAAACAATGTTGCATATTATTTCAAGAGTTCACAGATACCCCGAAATCTATTCATATATGTCCTATATTTAGATGTAGATTTTTATAATTATATTTATTAAATAGTGATAATCCAAAGATAATTCAGCAGGATTTAAAATTTATTTTAAACTTAGATTCAAAGACATTTATATATTCTATAAAGTTACAACTTTTTTTTATCATAGGAGAAAACTTCACTATAAGAATATATGACCTAGGTGGGGAAATCTGCTCCTGTCATTATCTGACTCTCTTTCTCCCTCCCTCCCCCAACACATGTCCCATCAAGAACATTGACCTATTCCCATGTCTGCACATGTGTCCTCTCAGACGCATTAAGTTCCAAAAGAGCAGTTCTAATCTCCCCCAAATCTCAGATGCTTGTTTTGACCCAAGACTTATTTTTTCCTTCTAGCTTCTGCTCTGTGGATTTTTTTTTTTTTTTTTTCCTTTTTTTGAGATGAAGTCTAGTTCTGTTGCTCAGGCTGGAGTGCAGTAGTGTGATCTCAGCTCACCGCAACCCCTGCCTCCCGGATTGAAACGATTCTCCTGCCTCAGCCTTCCAAGTAGCTGGGATTACAGGCACCCGCCACCATGCCCAGCTGATTTTTATATTTTTAGTAGAGATAGGGTTTCACAATGTTGGCCAGGCTGGTCTCAAACTCCTGACCTCAGGTTATCTGTCCCCCTCGGCCTCCCAAAGTGCTAGGATTGTAGGTATGAGCCACCACATCCAGCCTGCTCTGTAGATTTTACCAAAGGTTTTCTTTATATCTATGAAATGCTTATTAAGTAGGCAAGATAAAATGTCAGTGCCAAGATAAAAGTATATAGAAGAGTGATATGATACATAGGAAATCTTCAAAATATTCTGTGTGTTAAGCCAGATGTAAAAAGTAGGCAAATCAATGTTACCTGTGCTACTCTGATTTGAGATGTAAAAGATATAAAATTATAGTTATCTATATGCTTTTAGTTTTCTGGGTAAATTATGAATTCGAGAAGCACAGGGATTTTTATTTGCAATGCCTAGCAGGGTGCTTAGCACAAAGAAGGGATTTATTGAATAATTTTTGAATGAAGGGTGGGAGGGAAAAAAGGAGGAAGGAAAGAATCAAGGTAAGGGATGCTTTTTGTTCTTCTGAGATAGCCCTGCTTTGTTTATATGTAATATTTTTTTACAGTAAGGACTAAAAACAGTATCTATAGGATAAATCAATAAATGGGTGAACTGTAAACATGCAACCAACTGATAAGAATCATTAGTAGAGCATTAAGGTCTGTGTGTAGAACTATTTTTAACTCCTGGATCTGTCACCTGCCTCATTTGTGAGAATTAAATGAGATGAGGCATGTGAAGATGTTAATAAGCATTCAATAAAATCATAGAAATGACACTGTTATTATTTGTAGTAGTATATTTATTACTGAGAAATCACCATGGATTGGGGAGAAATAGCAAAATACAGGAAATTAGAACAGCCAATGTTGAGTTATGTCTCCTTCACCATCATCAAATTCTGATCTCCACAGTGTTGCTTCACCCATTGTTGTTTAGTACCTGTAGCTATGAAAAGAAAGGCACACCATACACTAGTTCCGTCTAAATCCTACTTCATTATGTCACAGTATAATTAACACACAAAGAGGGAACATCTTACGTATACCTATATTCTCACTCCTCACCTACCTCTGGCACATCGTCATCCTCTTGAAAAGGAGCTAGAATAACTGGGTTGCAGCATGAATGGCCATTTACCCCCAGATGGGAAGATTCAGTAAAAGGCACCACTCTCACTGGCACTACTCCTGCTCCAATGAGCCACAGTTACCATTATCTAGAAAACACTCATGTACCCTAGAATTTCTAGCCTCAGTCTCCCTACCCATGAATTGGTTATTTCAGTTCATAGTGAACACTTCTTGTTTATGTAACTCAGATCTCTCTGTCCTTAGGCACAAAAATTATTACCAACTCTGCCAAATCTCCAGCCCAACTCTTAGACTTGTGACAATCTTAAACTTTCAAGAAGTTGACTTATAGGTGATGACTTGTATGTTCCACATGCTTTATTTTGTGCCAGTGTCGAAAGTGGCATTCCCAGTCAGAATTATGGTGTTACCATCTTGCTCTCACCCCTTCCACTGTCAGCCAACTCCCATCCCACTGAGTACAAAATTCTTGACACTAGTGATCAGGTGGCGTCTACCGCACTCCCTGGCTTAGGAATCTACATGCAAGTGCATCTGTAAGGATTTCTTACCCTGAGGACTTTATAAAGACAAAAAAATCATTATTTGAGAACTACTAAACCCAAATTCAGGAATGAGATTTACAATATTATAATACACATTAACTTCTAAATAAATATATATATTTTATGTATTTATAAATATGCATGAATATGTGTAAGCATAATATTTTTGTAAATATTTATATTAAAAATATGTCTTTATAACCTGCTTAGTCCCATAAAAGATTTGAGCTACTTTATAAGACTATAAATGATCCAGCAAAAATTTTTTAAAGTAAAATGGTAATAACAGAGCTGAGAGAGAGAGAGAGCCAGGAGGAACAGAACCAAATGCCATGTTACCCTCTATCATTCCTATCTCTTCTTTCCGAGATTCTGGGCTAGCCCTTTCCCCTTTTCCACTGTGGCTAAGAAAAGATTCTTCACTCAGGGGTGGCCAGGTTCCTCTTCTCCTTGTGTTGTTTCATTTTTCCTTATTCTCTTCCATTTTTGTCCTGCTTGACCTTGACCCCAAAATAGCTGTGTCTAAATGTAGCTCTTTCAATCCCATAACCTTATTGCAATGTGTCTTTTTTTTTTTTTTTTCAGTTAGCAACAAGAGTGGAGGGAAATAATCCATTCCACAGTACCCAATAACAAAAACCACCCTAGAATCCTTCCTTAGAAAGGGAGCACACATAGCTCATGGCCTAGAGAGCTAATGGGAATACATGTCTTGCTGTGTGTTCATGAGACTCAAGAGACAGAACCACACTGTTCTCTTCTGTCTTTTAAAAATCCTATTCCCAAAGCATTTTTAACAAAATTACTTTCGTTTGTGGTACATCGTCTGAAAGTAATATTCACCACATAAATTACCTGGAAAGACTAATAATCCCCACAAATGGGGCAGAGTATAGTCTCTAAAACACTCAGAGCTCACTAGAAGTATACTTTAAAAATAAAAAGATAGGGCTTTAACTTTATTTTTTCTCCCAAACAGCCATTGATTTCCATATATTTATTTAATACTGGGTACTTTTCCTGATGATTTGGTTACCAGGAGGTGCAGGAATCCTCAGTTCTTGTCTTGCTTGGGAGAAGAATTTAGCCAAGAGGCCAATTAGTAACGTAAGCAAAAGATTTTTTGAAAGCAAATAAAGATTACAGAGTTGATTGAACTAAGGACATTCCAGGAGAGGAGCAGGCTGGTCTAGCTGGAGAAACAGGAGTAGTAGCAGCAAGGGCTGGGTAGAAGCAGAGACGGTGCATGCTGAAAGATGAGGCAGAGCAGGCTGTTCAAGAGGGAAAAAGCCAGCTGCAGCCCTGGGAGTTCTGCATTGTGGTTATTGTGGCACTGTTTCTTCAAGTTTCTGCTTCCGCCTCAAGTCTCCACCTTTGTCTTTGCCTAGTTCCCACTTCTGCCTTAAGTCCCCACCTTTTCCCCCACCTAGTTTCCACCCCAAATTTGTGGGATTTTCCCCTACGGTTAGTTCACATGTATGTACTGGCCTGTATTGAATATGAATTCTACATACTCCTGCATTACTCATTATCACCACCTGAGCAAGGTTGGAAAGTGGTTAAATCTGTACTTACTGCACCTGTGTATCTCTTAGGTGCAACAAGTGCAAACATTTCTCCTTTTTCCCTCTTTCCCCTAATGTAGCTAGCTACATTCTGATGGGTTAATTGCAGTGTGAGTGATTACTGGCAGTCTTAAGGGGTGTCCGTTTCTACATAGGTATTTCTCTTCCTCTCTGCTCATAGCTAGGATGCGTGTTTTGGGTGGTCTCTGGGGTATGAGATTTTTCCAAACCTCCCTTTTCTCAGGGGAGTCCCCCTCCTGCTCATATCTAGCTTATCTGCCTACTCAAACAATATGCAATACCACATTAAATTATATAAATTCTTATATATATTCAAGTATATTTCTTTACATGTTACTTTGTTCCATCGATCTGCCTATTTCTAAACCAGAACTTCATTGCTTTAAGTATACTTTTAATGCAGATCTTGCTTTGTGTCAGTATCCCCTGCAGAAGGAGGTTGCTGACTTTATCCATGCAAAAGGCAGTGTAGGGAGAAGATTTGGTGTTGATTTTAGTGTTAGCCTGAGCAGTTAATTAGGCTTGATTCCTGATTCAGTAGCTATCGACCTTGGGCAAGCTACTTAATCTCTCAATCTCTTTTTTTCATATGTCAAATGGGTATAAGAAGCCTGTTTCCCCACAAATATATACACCTACCATGTGCCTACAGAAATTAAACATTAAAAAAAATTACTCCTGTTTTAACAGTTACAAAAAAAATGCAGGATAAGTGTTTAGAAAGAGTGTTTAGTTATAATTTGTTCTTAATAAAAATTAGCTGTTATTATCAACCAGTGCACTTGCAGTCCTTAATCTTCATTGAGTTTTGTCTACTTAGCCCAAGATTTCCTGTAAGGCTATTCTGATTGGGGAGCTATAATTTTTTCTTTTGCCTGTTTTATCAGGAAAATCACTTCCTGCTTAAAGTCAGAGCTGAAAACAGATTGCCTGTTTCCTAGTTCTTTGATACATGCTGTTTAGTCACACC